GGTTTGGGTGGGCAATTCCACAACTGGAACTAGGAACTGATCAAAATTTACTGGTTCCAATTTTATGGAATCGGGAACCGGATCAGTACCCCTGGGAATTGCCTAGGACCAACCGGTCTGGTTCGGTCCGAGTGGTTCCTGATCTGAGCGGTTCATTTTGCTCACACCTAATTATATGATTAAGTTTGATCCTACAATGTGATCTACTTGCCAAGTGAAAATCAAAGGAAATCAAAACATCAAATAAATGTAATGGAATCAACACAACATATTAAAGAGAAATAAAAGACGGGTAAAGTAATGTGCCAAGAAAGTAAATCTAATACAAGTCAAGCAAAAAATATTACATGCATTTGTTTTAAGCCTCGGGACATGATCCCCGTGAGCTTGAAAACCTGTACGAGTTGGGCAAAAAATATACATGGCCTTGATCTAAGCCTCAGGACATAATCTTCATGAGCTTTGTTCAATTGAAATTGAATTCTAAGCCTAATCCTAAAGAGGCTAATCTACCTAACTTTAGATTAATTAGGAGGTTTCAATTATGTAAACCTATTGACTATTCAAAAAGAAGATTATTCTAAACCGATTTGAAAGAGATCTTATGTCTATCAATTGAGGTCAGGATATGAATCTGAACTAAGCTAAGGATTACCACCTTTATTCAAAGAGATTTTCCTAGATCAAGAAACTAAGTCTATGCCTAAGTAAAAAAAACCTATAGTCTATCCCCAAGCTACAAAATTGAATCTAAGCCTATCTTAATGCCCACTAGATTGAACCAAGGCCCCAAGATTACATTGAGCTCAACAGTAATGTCACATCTGGCAATCACTATATCAACATTCATAAATGGAATTGGATCAAAGAGATTTGCCGATCAAAGCCAAGTGATTGGTTTAGAAGAAACCTTCACATGTGATCTATTATCCATATCCACCTCATAATCGTGACAACTTATAACATATTAAGTAACTAAATGATTATCAATGACCACCACACACAACTTGTATGGCAACAATACAATGAGGCTCCATTTGTTTCACCGAAAATATTACATTTCTGAAAAATGTTTTCCAGGAAGCCATTTTCAAGAAAATGGCAAAATTTCTTGAGATTTGGTTGAAATCTTAAAAAGAACTAGAAAATATTTTCTATCGTTTAGAAAGGAAAATTTGATTTAATTTTCCTAAATACACATACACGATTGAGGCGCTAATGATTTGTTCATGAGCTTTCGAGGAACTAGGCATAGGCACCAAGCCTAGCCTCGATGGACCCCGACTCAAGCACTGGAGAACTAGGCACAAGCACGTGGGTCCTAAGTAAGAGCACAACCACTGGTCCTGTGTCCATGGAAGCCGAATCTAAGAACCTGGTGCTTGTGCATGACTTCTTGGTGCCCCTACCCAAGAGGCCCTAGTGCCTATGCCCACATGCCTTACGCCCGAGCTAGGTCCATCAAGGCTGAGGCCCAGGTCCATTGAGGCTGGGTGTCAGACCTCTTGGTGCCTGCACTTGGGTCACCATACCTAGTGCCTGTACTAGGGTCTGAGCAAGAGCACAACCACCATCCCATGTCTATAAAAAAGCGGAATTAAGAACCTGGTGCTTGTGCATGACATCCTGGTGCCCCCGCCTAGGGTGCCCTGGTGACTATGCCCGCATCCCTTACGCCTGAGCTAGTTCTATTGAGGCTGAGGCCCAGGTCCATTGAGGCTGGGCATCGAACTTTGGTGCCTGTACTCGGGTCCCTGAAGTGTCCGAGTCCATTGAGGAGGGGCTTTGAAAATTGGTGCTTGGGCATGGTTCCATCGAGGCTAGGTCCAGTGCCCGTGCTTGGGTCCTTAGTGCCCAGGCACAAGATCCCAGTGCTCAGGCAAGTCCATGCTTGGGTCCTTAGTGCCCAGGCACAAGATCCCAGTGCTCAGGCAAGTCCATAGAGGCTGAGCTCAGGACCCTAGTGCCCATGGTCGGATCTTTGGCACCAAGCTCGAGTCCCCAACGCTTGAGCCCAAGTTGATCGAGGCCGGGCCCGAAGCCCCCAAGATTAGGCTTGATTGCTAGGACCAGAGCCCAGCATCAATGGACACAGGCTCAAGCACTAGGATCTTGGGTTCCGCCTCAATGGACCCAAGCACGGACACCAAGGTATCGGGCCTTGGCCTTGTAGACCCAGGCTAGGGCGTAGTAGATTCGAGCACAAGCATTAAGGTTTCAAACTCAGGCACCGGGGTCTCCGGCTCGGCCTTGATTGACCGTGGTATGAGCACTAGGGTCCCAAGCTCTGCCTCGATGGACTCGGGCATGGACACCGGGCTCCTAAGCCTCACCTAGATGGACTTGGGCTTAGGCATAGGAAATCTGAGCTTGAGCTCTAGGTACCTGGGCATGGCCTTTGTGGATCTAGGGGGCTTGGGTGCCGGGATCCAGGGTACGGGCACTGGGTCCTGCACTTAGCCTTTATGGACCCAACTGAAAAAGTCAACCTTCAATCTATAGATGAAAATTTGAAATTTAAAAATCTAAATCTGTATTATGAGATGGAAGGAATGTCCATATGAATTGCCGCGATATTTTTGTTTTCAATTAAGGGTTAAGTTTCTCAATTCGACCAAAACGTTAATTCTTCAATCTATTCATGAATGGCCTAAAAAATGCGATTTAAATGCCTAGAACTTATTCTATTTGTGCGAGTGGATTGTAGTGGATGTAGAATTGTATAAACTAACTATTTTTGGTTCAAGGAACGCACTCTGTCACGATGAGAGATCTCCAATCCCTAAATGATTTTATTTTTTAATGCATTGATTGACTTGTTGGCGAAATTTAAGTGTCAACATCTCCTACGTACAAACCGGATTAGGAACAAAAGAATTGATGAATAGCGGCGGCATACTCAAAACAAAAGTCGGGCAGAACCTGTCTTCTATATTATACAAGCAAATCCAACTCAAATATGAACTCAAAAGTTTAAACCGGCGAAAGGATAATAACATAACAAGTGCAAAGCCTAATAAAATCTGACTGAAATAAGGTGCATCTATACTGTCTTATTAAGAAATCGTACACTAGAGCTCGTAAATGCTCATGTGACTTTTTTTCTTTTCTGCAAGAGATTGTGAGGAACCTTCGTCGGTTACTCTTTTGATGAACAATCTTGGGTGTTTTCCTATTAAATAAGTCATATGATATTTTTGGCATGCTATTTATCCATTTTGATCTTACTTTAGTTGACATGTCGACGTGATTAAGGAAAATGGTCCGTCTATAAATTCACCTATGTACTGCGGCCACCCTAGTTTAATTAGGCTTTTGACGTTATGGAAGGGATAACTATCTAACATAGAGAAGAAATGAAGCTAGTCAATCTACTTGCTTTGCTTGATCAAATCAAACATCATTTAAACACACATAAGGGAAATAAGCATACATAGAAAAACGCACCAAAAGACATGTGCATTTGACTATCGATTCGGGTAAAGGATAGAGTATTTATTTTTGGATAATTATAAGCACTTGAAATGATTCGGTACTCGAAATTTGTTATATAGAATTATAGAATTTTGCTGGGACCATTGCTAATTGTACTATAAGTTAAAGTTGTTAGATGAATACGTACATTAATATTTGAATACTCTAACACTTCCTCTCACGTGTATATTGGACTTTGGCCTAAAACGAGAATTTAAAAATATACAATAGGAGAGGCAAATAGAAGTCTAGAAATATTGGAACACGGGATTTGCTACTCGTATATCATGTTAAATTTTAATGAGACCACTGCTATTTTGACTCCACTCTTATATATTTCCATGCTCTGGTCATAAGGCAAAGTACACCCTGCACTTTAGGAAGAGTATTAGAGTATTTGAATTTTAAACTGCAATAGCTTTACTTTTTAGAATAATTGGTTGTGGTTACGCAAACTTTCATAAAAACTTGCACGACAGTTAATTGCTTGAAAATTTGGGGCTGAGATTCATGTTGTTGGCTTTATCCGCTGATGTACGTTGTTTATAACCCAATGCAATTTTAGAATTAGTCAATTTTCGTGTTAGATGTTTGATCCTCAATGTCTGTTTTTTTTTTTTTTGTAACCAAGGTGTCTGGGCCAGCTTGCGCGCACCTTGACTATTCCTTGAGGGAGACTAGCATAGTAACCCACCGCCATGGCCCCCCACTTAAATCACAACTACTCAGCTGAGGAATCGAACCTGGGACCAGTACGCCTAACCACACAATCCCAAGCATGCCCTAACCAACTGAGCTACCCATGGGTGGGTGATCCTCAATGTCTGTTAGTACCTAATTATGTGGAAAAGAAAATTGTGAACAAGTTTTAATCGGAAATTGTTAGATGTACATAGATATCTTACTAAAATTTACTTATTAATTGATATTGCAAGTTTTCGACCAGAAAAAACGAGTGATATTTCAAGTTACGATTGGGTATTGAAGTAACTGAAAATCATGCATGAATCATTGGCTTCTTGAAATACCCAATATAAAAATACCATATCATTTAGTAAACAAAATTAATAAGATTTTTTTAATACATTTAGCTTTGCTCGTGTTAATAATGGATTCTATGACCGCATAACCAAGCTTGGATTAATGCGCTTTGTTATTACAAAAAAATTATTGATTTCGTATTTAATTTTTCTCATGGTGTTTGAACTTGTTATTTACTCATTTTGAACATTTTATGACTTGACAAAAATGCCTTTACGACATTTTTTTTTTTAATAATATGCCACAATGCACATCAAATACTGTACTTCTCATTTCGACAAGGTTTTCCAAAGTGAAATGTCGATAGATGGAACAAGAAAAATCAAAGCAAAGGGATAATAACATGAATAATAATTCATATATTATAATCGATGCACATTACTTTTGTATACTGTTTGAATCACACAAGTACAATAATACACAAACCATTAAACCAGTAAGAACAATAAAGAATGGTCATCATTGTTGCATCGCACATCTCATAATCAAGGGCTCGGCGCAATGAACTGTAGCAACTCATCGTTGCGCTCGAACTCGATCATGTCGTGCTCGGCCAAGGTGATCCATGCTTCGATCCCATCCCCACACCTAGTTCCCATCAAAATCACCACATTTTTCATGGGAACACTGGTGGTGCACACCCAAGAGGGCCTTCCCCAGCCAAAATCCACCTCGTAGAACGGGAACCTCGCCCAGCTGCTGAACCTGTAGAGCTCAATCTCTCCCGCAGATGCCGCCACCAGCTTCCGTGCCGCCATGAGGCTCTCGCAAGCCTTGGCCAATCCATTCTCGCCTTGAAGCACGCTCAAATATTCGCTATCAATTGCCCTTATTGATTTCCTGAGAATGCCTGCAAAGTCCTGCAATTCAACATTCTCGATTGGTTCCACGAGTGGTGCCACAATGGACTACCACAGATTGCCCAAGGCATTCTCAGGCAACGGTTGGGGCCTTATCCTGCTTCTTATGTTCACCACATGTGTCACTGCTGATGATGGGGGACACGTCTTGTTCCAGTCCGGCCTCTTCCTCGCTGCGTCCACGGCCGATTTCCATATGAGGGCAGTCACAGCCTCGACGCGAGTAGGAGTAGCACTGACAAACCTGGCCCTGAGACGGACCAAGCTCTCGCCGTCGAAACGAAACCTCTTGGTTAAAAGCTTCTCTCTGCTGATGACCCCGGATGGTATTTGGAATTTTATGTCCTTTGGTTGGAAGAGCTCAGATGCTTTCAAGAAGGGGGTTTTGAGGTTGGCTTTGCCATCGCCGCCATTGACAACAATTTCAGAACATGAATTGAGGAAAGCGGAGACCGACGCGCTGTCGGCGATCTTGTGAGAGATACAGATGCCGATCCCGATACTGCCACAGTCAAAGAAAGTAGCTTGGACCCCTACAATGGCTTGTTCCTCAATGTTGGGACTCATTGTGTATGGAGAGAATGGAAGGAATTGCTGCAGCTGATTGATGTCGGGGTTTGATAGGACTTCAGACAACTGGAAGTGAGCTTTCGCCTCCAAATAGAGCGCGCCGTCGTCGTTGCAATCGATGGGAGCATTGCCTTTCACCCTTCCGCCTAGAGGGTAGAAGAGGGAAAGTGCCTGCGAGAATGAAGCTTTCAAGTTTCCTGTCACTGAGGCAGAGTTGGGTGCCGCCTTGTCATCGGGAGCCGAGTAGTACAGGACGGCTGGAACGCAAAATGGTGGAGCCAGCTGGTCAAGGAGGCAGAACTTGAACTCCCTGTGGTGAGATGGAGTTGGAGAGGAAGGCTTGATGCTCTCTGTAGAGACAACCTCAACTTTCATGGCCATGTTTTGTTGGAAATTGAGAGATTTGAAAGTTCGTCCTTTTAAGTTTCTTTCTGGAGAGAGATGTGCTTCCTTGGTGCTTTTCAATCGCAAGATCTCGTAGTTCATATGGATTAAAGGGAGTACAAATGTGCAATTTTTGGGTCATAGTCTCAAAGCATCGGGCTAAACAAGAAGTGTATGCTGATCTCTGGCAATAGCTCCCGTTTCGAAGGATAAAGCAGATATTGGGGTGTTTGGTTCAGCTTTGGGAAAGGGCTTTGAGCCCCGAAAGCCCCTTCCCAAAATGCTGGAGTGTTTGATTCAGTATTTGGCCTAGCATTGGCCAAATGCTACCATTCCAAATGCTGAAAGCCCAAGGCTGGTCCGGACCAGCCTTGGGCTTTTAGCATTCCACGAATGCTACTGTTCACCAATATATTTTTTTTTTTGGGTTTGAAGCTGTTCTTCACCAGGCAGCCGGCGAGGGCGGCCGGCAAGGGTGGCCGGCGAGGGAGAAGGGCCGACGAGGTCGGGCGACCACCGGCGAGCCAGATCTATCTCGCCGGCAGCCGTAGGCCCTCGCCGGCAGCCGGCTCCGGCGATGGTAGGTTTTGTTTTTTTTTTTAATAAATAAAATAATTCTCAAAGTCCATTTGCAAAAAAAATTTACCAAATACTATATTTTGGCCAAAGTAGCTTTACAAAATATTTTTACCAAACACCATTTACATTTCCCCAATGGGCTTTCACCCAAAGGTCCCCCAAGTAGCATTTTCAAAGTTGAACCAAACAGGTCCATTATGTATTGCCACCATTGTGAAGAATCTATCAAGTTTTTCCATTTGATATGGTGACTTCGAATATAATATAATTATAAACTTATTCCCCAACTAAAATGATGGACAAAGTTAACCTCGCAGTGCTTTGAACACATCAGATCATATTCTTTCTATTGCATATAAGCACTATATATCGATAATCAGTAATCGTGCTGAATAGGAATTGAACATGAACCCTCGTGCTATTCGAGATATCTAGTAGAGAATTGAATTTGGGTATTGGGATCTCTCAGCTATTTAATGTCTCAAGCATTTGGAGCATTTCGTCATTCTAGCTGAAAGGCAGAGTGGGTGGACCGCCCAAGATGGGCCAAACCTGGCCCATGAACCACAAAGGCCCACAAGGTGGTTAATTGCTTCTTACTTTAAATAGTAGACCTCCCTGAAAAAACTAACGTGATTTTTCATATGTATAAGAACACATCCCTTCGAAAGTAACGCCTTCTCTGTTTTCCCTTAGGAACGTAGTGGGTACGAAAGATGATCGAAGAACACTCTCAAGTGCAAAGTAGCATTTAATCTGTGATAATTCCGGGTATTTTCATTATGTGATATGCCTGTATGATCGGTGATACAAGTTGATAGTTATTGGGCACATTTTCCGCATTGATTGAATTCGTTTCGAATATGTTTCGAATATGTCGATTGGGAATGAGTTTTCCCAACACTGGTATCAGAGCCCATTTACTTGTTTCCCGATCATGCATGTGTACGGTCTCTGACATTGAAGTGTATACTACCTGTTTTTTCGTTTCGGTCTCATTTTTGGCCCGTTTTCTTCGTTTGGACGTACTATTCATGCATGTTTCGATTTGTGCCTTTTGTCAAAATTTATTTTTGATTAGATAGATAGAAAGTGCTCGTCAAGACGAGCAAAATGAGGGGCGGTGCGTCACCGGAGGAGGTCGCACGCGCCCTCATGTGCCGACACTCGCCGTGGGCGCAACAGCGCGTGAAGGCCATGCGCGGCCATGGCGAAGCGACGCATCGATTGCTGCCAACCGCTAACGCTGACATCATCGTGACGTCAGCGAGGCCCAGATTCGGTTGACCTGGATCCCGACCGACTCGACCTGGAGATCGAACCGTGACCCGACCTAGAGACCCGTTGACCCAATCCGGTTGACCATTGACCGGTCAAGCTAGTTAGACCGATCAAACTGGACCGGTTCAGATTGGCCAGAATGACCCCAACGCGACTTTTTTGGCCCGTACAAGCTCATTTGAACTCCGATTTGGGCGTTCTTGGTATCGACGTACTCATATCGGAATGCTCTACATTTTGGTATATTCATATGACACGTTTGCTGCACTTATTAATATAAAATGCACGATGAACCCTATGTATGCATATTTTGGGATATATTCTTTGGCATTTTCTTTAGTATTTCTCTATGATTTTTGAAATACAAGTGCTAGGTCACATGTATATGAATAAGTATTCCCTATCTTAATGTATCATGGATTATGAGCAATCCTTTTGTTTTGCATTCATTGTAGGAACAATGGTACATAGGAGATGCACTCCGATAATCCCAAGAATGGCAGCTCAAAAGAAGAGGCTTGAGAAACTTAAAATCAAGCTAGCTCTTTATCGATGGGACGCTGGTGATAACATGATGACACACATCATCAAGGTCAACAAAATAATACAAGATATCATTTGGAACGGTTTTGTAATGCCGGAATATGTGATGGTCAGAGCCCTAAAATGCACTATTCCTGAGAAGTTTGGAAGAATGCTTGATGAGGTTGGAGAAACCTTAAAGGATCCAAGTTATAAGAAACTTGTGGAGAATTTCCTGTAAGAGTACATAAGGATCAGGGCAAGGAGAACGTCAACCCTCGCATTAAATGGGTCTCGACGCAAACTAGGAGTTTTCTAGAAGCTTCTATTTTTGTTCCAAAGAAAATGGAATTTCCTAAGGAATTTCATGAGTCCTTTCCTGTTTATGTGTTGGATTGGTACACTTGATGTTCTTCTTTTAGGATTTGGAATCCCTTGTGTATATGTTTCAAGTTCATATTACATGTTCTTGAATATTTGTGAATATATTGTTAACACCTAATTTTTAGTTCATTTTTTTTATATTTTCAAAAATCTCAAAATTAGGGCTAGGAATCTTGGCCAAGCCTAGACACCTATTTCTAAACCAAAAAATAATTTTTTTTATCATTTTCTTGCATTTTTCCTTAATTTATTTTAGTCAAAATAAGTGAGAAAATCAAGAAAAATACCAAATGGAATAAAAAAACTCCATAAAAATAGTCATTAGTCTTATTTTAAATCCAATTTCATTAATACATCATCAATTTTAAAAAATCTCAATCGGGTATATGTTTTTCCCAAAATTGGGCAAAATTAAACCTGAATTGAACAAAAAATGCAATTAAATCTTTTCTAATCATTGTTAAGTCATAGTGTCTTCACAAAAAATGATTCTGGGACCTTGAATTACATAATGGTCGGTCCAATTGCACAATTTGTCAAAGAAATTAGAAAACCCCAAAATTTAATTGGAAATTAAGAATTTTGAGCCCAAATTGGGAATCGTGCCCAATATGAAATTGTCGAACCATGAGACCACCATTTCTACGGTTAATTAGATATGGGTAATTCAATTTTAGCATCAATTTTGCCTAATCAGGTCATTAGGACATCAAATTGAATAAAACCATATTAACCCAAATACAAAAATGTGAAAATCTTGGATACAATTAAAACAAAGATTGGAGAAAATCACATATTTGGGTTTGGAATATGATGGGGAATTCAATTTCGGGGTTTAATTTTGAAAATTGGGTCAAAATTGAGTTTAATTTGCGAATTTAGATCAACCCGGGTCTGCCGGGTCGACCGGGTCAACTCGTCCCGGCCTGGGCTGTTCATCTCCCTTACCCGACTCACCCAAACTGCATTAAACTCAAGAAAAAACGTTTCAAGCCCGCCACTTCGCCAATCTTCTCCGGTCAAATAGACATGTGTTTGACTTGAACGACAGCTGGAGAATCGTCGGAGATCGGTTATAACCGATCGGAAGTCGGTTCTAACGATCTTGAGGCAGGAAAAATGGATCAACAAAAACCAAGAAAAAATTGAACATTGAAGAGAAGGTGTTCAACGAAATTACTGAGAGAGAAAAGAGAGAAACAGACGCGAAAGAGAGAAAACTAGGGAGAACGTGAGTTGAGGTTCCCCTAACCGAGCGATCGACGCTTTTTTGGCCAAAAAAACGCCGGCAAATCGGTTTAGGCAGTGAACCTCCTCACCTAAGATGACCGGTGATCGACTGATCACCATAGCCTGAAAACGAGCCCCAGCCGGCATGTCCAGAGCCCTTTCGGTGAAACGGATACCACCACTTTGAAGCCGGAGTGTCGTGGAACTGATCCACAGGCACTGCACATCTCAGAAGCACCTTTTGATCATCAAACGAAGCAGGTAAAAATCAATCACAGTCACGATTTTCCCAAAAATTTTCAGAATTGAGTTCTATGCTCATGTGATTTCGTTGATGATTTTTTTTTCGCATTTTGATGTTTAAAACATGTTCTTGATCATATTTTGTGTTGCTTAATTGCATTTTTGGCCGTTAAACGTGTATAAATTGAGTCGACCGTGCATTTGACCACCTCGCCGGAGCTCGAAAGTCTTCGCTGGAGTGCCGCTGTGGCGTTAAATCGCTCAAGTTAGTCTCCCTTAGTCCCTGTTTGATGTTTTGAATCTTTGTTTTGATCGATCTAGACAGATAGGGCGGTTAGAATTAGGATTTGCATTCTAAAAAAAAAATTGCCAAAAACAGTTGCGAATTAGGTTTTTTTTTACCGATTTTTCGCCGACTGGCGGACTTCCGCCGATGTTCTGAGTAGACTAGATTCAAAATAGAACATAAGGACATCACTATGGTACAATCGGAATAGCGAGATAGTCGTTGGAAAGTCGTCGGTGATGAGCTTAAAGTCATGGCCTCGAGAACATATAACACTGAACCATGCATATTAGGTGTTTGTAAAAATGCCCTAATGAAGAAGGCGTTAAACGACGCCGTTTTGGCATTGTGCCTGCCGGAGAAGACAATCGACGCCGGCGCCGGCGACGCCCGGTTCGGTCAGGCTGAACCGGGCCGGTCCGGTTCGTTTCCCCGCGGGAAATTTAAAAAATATAATAAATTATAAAAAAAT